CATCTCATCTCATCTCATCTCATCTCATCTCATCTCATTTCACCTCATCTCACCTCATCTCACCTCATCTCACCTCATCTCACCTCATCTCATCTCACCTCACCTCACCTCATCTCACCTCACCTCACCTCATCTCACCTCATCTCACCTCATCCCATCTCATCCCTCCCCCAGGGCTCCATCGCGTACGTAGCCCAGCAGGCGTGGATCCAGAACGGGACGGTCAAGAACAACATTCTGTTCGGCAGTCCGCCCAACGAGGCTCGCTACAGGGCGGTGGTCAAGGCGTGTGCTCTGGACAGGGATCTCAGCATACTGCCCTCTGGCGACAGGACCGAGATAGGCGAAAAGGTGAGGGTTAAGGGTTAAAGAAGGGGATATGGGAGAAGGTGAGGGTTAAAGGAGGGGAGAGGGGTGATTAAAGGAGGGGAAAAGGTGAGGGTTAAAGGAGGGGAGAAGGTGAGGGTTAGAGGAGGGGAGAGGGAGATAGGGGAGGAGGTGAGGGTTAAAGGAGGGGAGAGGGTAAGGGTTAAAGGAGGGGAGACGGAGATACGGGAGAAGGTGAGGGATAGAGGAGGGAAGAGGGAGATACGGGAGAAGGTGAGGGATAGAGGAGGGAAGAGGGAGATACGGGAGAAGGTGAGGGATAGAGGAGGGAAGAGGGAGATAGAGGATAAGGTAGCGTCAAGAACAACATTCTGTTCGGCATCTCTCTCGACGAGACTCGCTACAAGGCCGTTGTCAAGGCGCGTGGCACTAGACAGGGATCTCAGCATACTGTCCTCTGGGGACAGGACCGAGATAGGCGAGAAGGTGAGGGTTAAAGGAGGGGGGAAGGTGAGGGTTAAAAGAGGGGAGAGGGTAGAAGGTGAGAGTTAGAGGAGGGGAGAGGGAGATAGGGGAGAGGGTGAGGGTTAAAGGAGGGGAGAAGGTGAGGGTTAAAGGAGGGGAGAGGGAGATAGGGGAGAAGGTAAGGGTTAAAGGAAGGGAGAATGTAAGGGTTAAAGGAGGGTAGACGGAGATAGGGGAGAAGGTAACGGATAGAATACTGTTAATAATAATAAGATGACAATAATATTATCATTATTATTATTCTAGAATATATAAGTTTGAGTTTTAGTAGAGGTTTTACGGCGCTCGCAACTGCTAGAATAGATAAGTGCCGTAAACCTCTTACTAAATCTCAACAACAAAATAATAATCTCCTATCTAGTTGCTTTCCCCCTGTGTGATCCTTGTCGTACGTTACAAGGGAGTAAACCATAGCGAATAATATCTCCTAGTTGGACATGTGGTTACTTGAGGGAGGCATTGTGCTGCCAAGAGCGAAATGCTCGCAGCTGAAGGGATTTGAAAACAACAACAACAACAACAACAACAACAACATCTCCATGTTGCATTCCCCCTGTGTGATCTTTGTTGGCGATCTTTGTTGTACGTTGCCAGGGTGTGAATCTGAGGGAATATGTCTGGAGTGTCTTTAGGACATTCCCAAAGGGGGGGGGGGCATTTCGCGTTCTAATGCTCAGTAGAATTGTAAATGGGCTGATCCAACAATGCCATGCTCATAACTGTGCCTGAACTACAACAGTGAACTGCTGCTTTTTCTTTCCTTACTATCCTTCCTATCGTAATTTTTCCTCTACTTCTTTTGTATGTTCGTCACACTCTTGTGACCGGCTATTTCCGGGGTGCCTTGAAAGTCGAAACAAACTTTATGCTATTGAAGCTAGAGAGGTGAGCAGAGTAAGCCCGATTCCCTGTAAATACTTCTCTGTTGACATCCACCCCTTGGCGTTCTATGACCTTATGCAGTTGCGAGTGCCGTAAAACATCTACTAAATAAAAAATTTTAAAGTTTGAGGGGTGAGCAGAGTAAGCCCGATTCCCTGTAAAGACTTCTCTTTTGACTTCCACCCCTTGGCGCTCATATGACCTTATGCAGTAGCGAGCGCCGTAAAACCTCTATCGTTCTTATCTCTCCTCCTTCTTTTATATGTTTGTTACTCTCTTGTAACACCTCTAATCTTCTGGCGCTCATATGACCGTACGCAGTTGCGGGCGCCGTAAAATCTCTACTAAAACTAACACCTCTACAAAATATAAAATATAAGAAGAAGAATATTGTAGTTGCATGACCCCTGTGTGATCCTTGTTAGTGATCTTTGTTGTACGTTGCCAGGGTGTGAACTTGAGCGGCGGACAGAAGCAGCGAATCGCCCTGGCCCGGGCAGTGTATAGTGACATGGACCTGTACCTTTTGGATGACCCCTTGAGTGCTGTGGACGCCCATGTGGGGAAACACATCTTTCAGCACGTCATTGGGCCGGAGGGTTTGCTCAAGGGAAAGGTACGTTATGGATGTGGGGAGTGGGGGTGTTGGTGTGGAGGTGGGTTGTGGGGAGGCGCGATTCAGTACTGAAAGGGATGGTGTGGTTTGGATTATTTATTTATGTATTCATTTATTTATTTAT